CACCATCAGTATGGGCAGATTGATGCACGTGTTCCATGAAAACCAACGGCGCAGAACCAATAAACTGCAAATAGGTAACCACAACAATTTATATACAAAAAACACAGATAATCTTGTAGGTTAAGTAAAATAAAACACATGTATTAGCAAGAATACAAAAAAAAAGAACAAAAAAGGGGGTAGAAATTGGACATAGTTACACAGATTCATAGATTTATATAGAAACTGAAAACAAAAAATATCATAAACAACACTCAGGAGAAGATATTTGAGCTTTAATCCTTGTCCTCCTTTTCCCTGTTGGCCGGGTTTTAACTTTTAATAACAGAAAGTGCAGGAAAATCATCCTATCCTCGTCCCATAAATGTGGGTGCCTTCGTTCATGACCTGTCAGGTGTAAAATTTCGACACCAGGGGTATTAAGATTCTAGCTTATATCTAACATACAACTCAAAGAAAAAATGAAAGAGATTAATCAACTCTTTGGCAGAATTCTAAATTATCTCAAAATATGCTTGAGCTAAAATTCCATCACCTACAACATCAATTCATTAATCATATGAGCTAATATGAAATCAAATCTTCCACCACAACAATTATCAAAACACGCAATTGCTCTCGAAAACACAGCGATCGAGTGTTTCAAGAACAAGAATCTATGAGAGAAATCTCAAATTATATGAAGCAGCGAAAAAAAAAAAAGCATGAATTCAAAAGAACAATACTGCAAAGCGGTTTATTCTCACCTTTCCAATTGAATTCTTCTTGATGAATTTTGAGCGGCGCAACGAATCAGCGGAAGAACTAAAATTCATCCTCATCATCCGGAGAAGCACGTCGACATGCCAATATCCGAGGCGCCTGCGTAGGTCAAAGGCTACGTGACCGGAATCAGGCCGGTTCTGAGGGAGGACGGGTGGTCAGAATCCAGGCTGTTGGTGTCAGGTTTATTTGACATCGGGATTGTGAGGGCCGACAACCAGATGATGATGGAAGCCATGCTGCTTAAAGCGGGCCGGGTCTCCAATGTGCTCCAAAAAGGCAGGAGGAGCTCAGAGGAGGTCGGATGCCATGGGGTTCGATTCTCTCCGGGAGAAGGAGAAGAAGACCGCTGCTGGATCTGGCTGAGTCGATGGACTGGTAGTCGTCATCGTCTGCTTCGTCATTGTAGTTGTTCCTTTTAAGAATTGTTAATGTTACTGAGAGTAAATGGTTTGGTAGGGTTTGTAGAGAGGGATTTTACCTGCTCCCATCTCCATCAAACTTGCTTGTGCGAGAATTGTGCGAAAAGAAAGAAAAAAGTGTTGACCCGAAACTTCTGCGAGAAATGGGGAAAGTGACTGAGCGAGAATGATGACAAAATAAAAAAAAAAAAGTCAATGACAACAAGTCATAAAAATAATAACTACCTTTCTAGAGTAATGGAAAAACATAATCACCCAATGAACCAGAAGGTGAATACCAAATTAGAACATTTAATTCGTATACTGGCAGATTAGACAAACAAAAGCTAGCAAATATGTTTCACAATAAGTGAATATTGAACCTGACACATGCTATCTATCCAAGATACTGGGTATTCAAAACATTAAGCAACCTCCTAGAAATTTCACCGGTTTTAAGCGTCAGACACCTAACATATTAGAGAGAAAATTTTCAGCCATAGATAGAATCCTTAAAATTCTATGGTTGCTGGTTTTTTTAGGGGAGAAAAGTAATAGATCATAACCCAAGAAAGCACACGGCTACGATAAAATGCATGCCCTCAGTATAAAATATCTATAATGTGTATCAAAGAAACCCAACAACTGTAAAATTTACAATGCAAATGGGATTTATGAATGCATAACATAATTCTTTAGCAGCCCTCTTTAACAACCACGTGATAGCCATGAGGGCAATAATTGAAGACTTCATTCAGCCCTTAAAATTCAAAATCCTAACAAAACAAAAGAAAGACAAAAGAAAAACATTTAACTGGTCCCGTGGAATCGTATGTAGGCATAAGCAATAAGGTAGTATAACAGTAGGTTGGTTACCTCCATAATAGTATTAGTACAGAATTCTTTTATCCACTTAATCATATCATCCCACATGAGCTTCGCGTTTTCAACATCAAACTGACAATTCAAATGTTTTCAGCAACAACACAACAAAGTACCATTAGGAAAGGATAAAAATGATTGATCTATGCCCAAGGAATACACAAAACAAAAAAGGAAAAGCTATAAGCTTCAGCTAGAGGAAAACACCCATGGTTATGGTTGTTTTGGAAGTGAAGACATACCTAGTTTTTGCATTGTCCGTCAGCCAGTCGGACATAAAACCTAATGAAACATAGAACTTAAAATTCCTGGTGTACTGATCAATTGGAGCATCACTCCCTAAACGAATAAGTTGGTGCTTTCGAAAGTTGTTGCTACATAAACTAATTCATGCGTAAAATAGTTTGATGTTTATTAACCTGAAGCACCAAGCCAAATCGCATAAGGTGTTGAATCAGATATCGCCACCAGACTGTACAATAAAGTCAACTCACTTCTGCAACAGTATGTCGCTTTCACCCATGTAATTATTACTAATTTTCTTGTGTGCATGTAATAAACACCGTAGTCCAGGTGCAGTCGTCTATCAAACCATATCAAGCCGTTTATGTCCAAACTCTTTGATAAAATGAACACATGAATAACAACTCAAAATTTGACACTTGCAATTTAATAATTGGATTAAGCCAATATAAAGTTATAAAACCGGGCAATCAATAGGATTTGATGATGTATCAAATAATGCATAAAGTAGTTCCAAGTCATCAAATTAATACTTTAGTTCCCATACAATATATCTGATATAACTTCTGCAGCAACTTACTGGAAGAATTTCTCAATGACAGTTGTCTTTATGCACAAATATAATGTTACCCGTCCACTAATGTATCTTCCATTGATTAAAAAAAAAGACTCATATACATAGTTTATGGTGTATTGGTGTGTGACATCCTCTCACATATAATAAACTAAATGACAGCATCTAATATTGGTAACTTCTTATTCACTACAGCATTACTCAATGCCAACATCAAGTAACAACAACATATGAACATTTATGAAAATTTGGCAGTAAGGATAGGTAATTAGCTAAACGAAGATTTCATCGCCGAATAAAATATTTAAATTAAATCAACATATGACGATAGAACTAAAAAAAATGAAAAAAAAATTACCAGCCTGCGTTTTTTTATGGGCGAGAGAAATAGAAAATCGGAGAAGTTGTTGCTGACATCATCGACCTCATTCCTCTTAAATTTCATCGGACCAAAACCCTCCATGGCTTCCTATTTTTTTCTCCAAAATCGAACTCCAGCAAAAAAGAACAAAATAAACCAGGGCAAAATCACTATCAGAATAAAATCGAAAAAAGGAAGAAGAAAATAGATAACAGTGCTTTACCTTCAACCTCAAGCTGAAGAAAGCTTGAAAAAAAAAAGTAGAAATAACAGCGCTTTACCTTCAACCCCGACCTCCAAAAGCTGGAAATAAAAGTAGAAAGCTTTTGAGAAGCAGTACCGAGCCGTTTCTCAGCTCGAACCCTAGCCACCCGCCGGTAGCTAACGTATGCTCGAGCACCGCCGCCTACTCCTTGGACAGGTGGGGCTTCTTCCTTCCGGGGGCCCCATCTCGCCGTTATTCTCCTCCCGCTCGCTTTTCTTCTCGCTCAGGATCGACAACGTGTTGTTCGGCTACACCTCCGCCATGACACCCCGATCGCCTCCCTGTAACTGCGCACCTGGAGTGAGCCCGCGCAGCTCATCGGCGCCAGAGGTGATGGGTAGCTTTCTGCCTTCCGACGATTAGAGTTTTTTTTGGGTGAAGTGTTCTTTGAAATTGGGTATGAAATCCGGGAAGGTACCTTTGGGCTTTGGAAAATGGAGAAGGAGGAAACGTCTTCCCTAATTTTGGGCTTTTCGGAGGAGCAGACGTGCGGTGTCGGACATTTAACAATAAAATAACTCAATGGCAAACCTGTAAATACATAATAAAAGGAAGGACATTTTTGTCACAAAAAGACACGTGTCAAGCCCACAATTGTTCAATGTTGTTGGGTTATATGTATAGTAGAGATATGCATGCTAGGGTTTTAGTGATGTTGTTGGGCTTAGTAACTTATTTTGATAGACAAATAAGCTAGTTTGTAGCTTATTTGGTTAGCTTATAAATTTTTTGTAGTAAAATAAGTCTCGTTTGGTAGGACGAGCATTTTTTAAAAAGCTCGAGTTTATTTGATAAGCTTTCTTAGGTAGCTTTTCAAATAAGCTAGTTGAATTTTTTATTCTAGTTAGCTTATCAGCTAATTTTACCAAAACATTTTTATCATATAAGCTATAAACTATAAGCTAAAAAGTTACTGATAAGCTATAAGGTAGTTTATCAGCTAGTTTTACCAAACATAGCCTAACAGTTAAACCGGTGACCTGAATTCCAACTCAGCTCAATCACGGGTTTCCATTAATTAATTAATTCTCAAGAAAACTCGCTGTATTTAAAGGGTCGTGCTTTATACCCAAGAGCGTTTGGATGAGATGGCTTGAGTCTCTTCCAGTTTAACCAGTGGTCTCGTGTTCGAGCCCTGGGAATGCAGCAGTGTTAAAACTCTTGAAGCGCTTTGCCGCCCTTGTGGTCCTA